CAAGTTCGTCTCGATTGCACCTATTTTCACCCGGTCGGCCCGCTTTTCCATCGGAGTGGGCGCTCGAAAATAGGTGCAATCGAGACGAACTTGCAGGCAATGACGGACGGGCAACAAAATACTGACATTAGTTACTGAGAGATAAGCAGACCCTAAGTAGGAGCGAAACGGGGAGAAAACAAGCAGCAAGAAAACGAAACGGTGTCATAATAAACAGGTGTAGGTCATGTTACTCATGAGTAGTCAGAAAACAAGGAAAGTCGCCCTTGTTCACCGTTGATTCACCGGGGAAATCAACAGATTCTCTAGCAGATTTTCGTTCCTCCAGTGATGCTAGCCTGTTGTTGGCCTGTAGGTCAACTTTTAAAGCTGCACCTGCCTATCGCATTCCTCAGATGGTTTCGTTGCCCTCCTGGTAATTATCCGCCAGCGGGTCGAAATGCCACAAGTGATGAGAGCGCAAATTCACTGGCCGGCAGGTCCGTGGTTCTAACCCAACTTTGTCTCTCAACTTCCCCTGTCTATGATCCGACAACCTGGCAGTATCTCAGCCCTCGTGCTTCCTTCAGACGACATGGTAGATAGGCACTGGAAGGGTTTTACAGCCAAACGATTTTTTATCCGTCAGCGTCATACTAAAAACGATCACCCTCGTAAAACCATTACGATCGCTTCTCCATTGTTGGTAGCAGGACCGAAGCTGCAACCTTGCTACGACCGCTTTGGAACGCGCCTATTTTCAGCATCCTGCCTGTCGGCTTCATGGGGTGACGACCATCTAATAAGTCGGTCCAGATAGATTGTCTCGGAGTTGATGCAGCTGCCATGTTTTCCACAAGCTATTGTGCGAGCAAATCAAGTGGCAAGACATTCTTACTCTTACCCCAAACTTAGCGAGAAGTATCATCTATCCTGCCTGGATTGACGTGATGCGGGTGGTCCGAACAACCGCTCCTTCTCTTATTATACTGATGATGTCCTGCTGCTTTTGGCGCCATCGTCCTATTCAGGAAAATGTTCTCATCCATTGTCGATATGCTGCATCCACCACGTTATCCGTTATTCTTCCCTAACCTGCTAGCAAGTGCGATACACTAAACCGATTTTGCTCAATAGTCTCACCACATATGCCCCCGGAACTCTTCTCTGGTGACTTGTTACTCCAATTGCCATTAAAGATAGCTTTTGCGTTTCCCGCTAGTTTACATCAGGCGAGTACTTAACCAAGATGTGAGGAAGTTTACTGTTCCACTAGCCGCGTCGCCACCAGTTACCAGAGAGTCACCCATCAGTGAGCTGAACTTTTGCGGGGCGCCTCTGTCGGAACTGAGAAAACTTTGCCCAAGGCCAACTTTGGAAGCAGCATACTACTAAAACGCGCTGAATTATCCTCAAGAATATCGTCTTTCTTCACCTAGTTGTGTTTTTTAAAACGTTCATAATAGAACGCACGGAGTAATGGTCTCGAACCCCTTGTCAGGGTCTGTAGCCCATTCGTATCTGGTCAGTAGTAACGTTGTAGGTCAGGGTTTATGTTTCCGAAAACCACACACTGTGACGTTCGGGGCAATTCCGAAACCTTTTGCACACGATCAGCCGAGAATAGAACTGGACCTACTGACATACGGGTTGCAAGGTTAGACCGTCTTCAGCCATCAAAGCTGGCGTTTTTATTCGAGTTTTTCACTGTTTATGGCGAACCGCCTATCGCGTGGATTCTGGTAGCACTTGACCAGTTGCCGAAATAGATATCACATAATTATCTGCTGTATGTAGCTCGCCAGGGGCGCTGGTTTTTATCTGCTAGATTATGCTTGGTGCATTATTATGTGCCATGATGTTAGGATGATAATCGAATTCTGTGTTGCATTATCATTATGCTTCCCAGAATTGAACGGTGTTCCCAACACGTGTAAGCAGGAATGTGGTAGGCCTAATTCTGTAACTGAATAGATGTGCTGCATGGCACAGTCTATGGTACAGTCTATGGTTTCACGCTATCCACTTTTTACATCGTTTCTTCTCCATCCTGGAGCCCATTCAAACGAGGCACTGTTCCCGAGGCACCATTGTATGCCTTTCCGCCTGATTAGGGCATATACCAGTGTATTCCGTTCTTGGTTTCTCCGAACACTATGGATATCCGTAGATGGTTGCCCGCTTTGTTCAAGCAACTATTGAGGGTAAATCTCCTAACTGCAGTTGTGCGTCGGTCAGCCGTGTCCTCTGAAATGCGTAGATCCCAACTCAGGCCTCCATCATCTAGACCTTTTGCGGATATTATCCGGCTGGTCTAGAAATCACTTGTTCTGCATAGGTTTCGTTTTACGCCGAATACATTTGCTTGCTTTTGACGTAGTCTGCTCACTGCCAACTTATCTGATAGGCCTCCTTCTGTAAGTTATCAACTACGTAAATGATCCGAATATATACCCAGTTAGCACGCGTCCGCTCCTGGGTGCAGAACCTGTGCGGAATTAGTGCAGAACTTCTGCACTAATTTTCGGCTTTTAAGCCTCGGGAGCTTGAGACGTTCAATAGACATCAAAGCTTCTTTATTTGTCTCACAGTAATAAAGAACCACAATACCCTGCATTTCCGTGTGCCTAGGAAATGCAAACGGTCAACCGATTTAAGTGGTTTTGTTTTACTGTACGGCGCCATTGCTCGCGGGAAGCTCTGCGTTCTGCTTTTCCTCACGTACGGCTGAGAGTGAGTTTTGTTGCGCTTTCATATGTTTTATTCCTGGTGTGTTTACGCGTGAACGATCCGTAAAAGTATTTTTCATTTCAAGTAACCGTCAATGCGCCCGAAATTTGTTCGTGTTGCTCTTAAAGGCTCTTCAAGAAACAAGCTATATAGGAAAGTACGACAGGCGGTTGCACCAAGTGGCTGTTTTCGTTGCCCGACTGATGAACGCGTCCATAATGCCTTTAGTCGACTATCTGAGGGTAGGATTCATGATTAATCAGATGATAGGCTGTAGGTATGCCGAATTTGACAAATCCAGGTGATAAACTAGGCTGCGATTTACCACGATATTCGCCGGCGGTTTCCCCGATCCCTGTTATCAGGACTTTGGAGCCAGAAAGACATTCACCACTGCGGTCCCTGGAGAACCTTTCGGTTCCTGCGTTTTGCCATAAGGTAGCCCACTGCAAGTCGTTGAAAGGATCAGTCCGTATGTTCTGCTTGCACTTATATTGCTTTTCATCAGTATCCTTTTTAAACCATTCACAACCAGGTAGAAGTATTTTAACGGCTGTTCGTCGGATGGCGCGAAGGCTGAATCTACCTTTATCCGGTTTAGCCGTTGTGTTGGACGAACTCAGATACTTTTTTCCGTCTCTTCCGAAAGATCCACGGACTGTAATGAAAACCCCCCGTCGTTGCTGCGTGCGACAGAAGGCCGGTGGAATGTACATCCACCTTGGGTTGAAAGCAGGTTTGCTGCAACAGCTCCGTGAGATCCAGACTACGGTTACTAATATCGAAATTCAAATTAACGTTGACGGTATTCGGGCCTATAACAACTCGCGTACACAAGTGTGGCCTATACTCTCCCGGATAATTTCACCCTTTTTCGGTCAGCCTTTCGTCGTGGGAATATACTGTGGTAAGCAAAAACCCAATGATGCCCATCAGCTGATGTCTGACACGGTCGCTGAGTTGACAGACGTCTTGGCGAACGGTGTCTCCGGGGTTTGCAGTACTCATACCGTCCGTCTTCAATGCATTATTTGTGATAGTCCTGCTAGGGCCTTTCTGAAGCAAGTGAAGGGACATACAGGATATTATGGCTGTGATTACTGTACACAAAGGGGTGTGCACATTGGCACACGTATGACTTTTCCCTCGTTGACAGCTCCCTTGCGTCGTGACTATGATTTCCGGACCAGAAAACAAGAGAAGCACCATATAGGTCCAAGTCCGATGGAGGAGTTAAATTTTCCCATGATTGACGGTTTCCCACCAGATTACATGCATAGCGTGTGTCTTGGTTTAGTGCGGAAATTTCTCATCTTACTCAGAGCTATGCCAATTGGACACAAGGCCAGGCTTTCTTTGGAGTCCTGGAATCTGCTGAATGCTAACATTGAGCAACAGAGTTTGGCTCTGAGTATTGATTTCCCCCGAAAATGTAGAGGTGTCGTAGACCTGGATCGGTGGAAGGCATCTGAGCTACGACAGTTTCTTCTGTACATAGGACCCGTTGTTTTACGAGACATCTTACATCCTGACGTTTACGAATGTTTCATGTATTTTTCGGTAACCACTTTCATAGGCTGTTCACCTTTTTTTCACAACATTATGCTAATTTTTTAATTGATGTTTCCAAGGTTGCGGTGTCAAAATTTGCTGCTATTTTTGGTCCCAGCCATTTAGTGTACAACATACACCTCTTCTCCCATTTGTTCAATTTCATCAAGCTTTATGGTTGCTTGGATCGTTTTTCCTGTTTTCCCTATGAATCGGAGCTGGGTCATTTGAAGCATTACATACATGGTCCAAAACCACCGGCCGTTCAGCTTTACCGCCGACTGTCCGAGCGTGTGGGATTGGATGCTGTCGAAAGGAAGGTGTTTTTGGATGATGTTGGTTTGCGACTGAGGCCATCGGTCACTGCCGGATGTCGCAGGTTTATTCATAGGGATGTCGTTTTTTCGAAAAACTTTCCCGACAACTGCATTTTGCTTGATGGTCAGCCAGCTGTAATTGTAGATTTTTCTAAAGATACTATTGTGTACCAGAAATTCAAAACTGTTCTACCGTTTTACACTCACGTATTGATTTCGACGGACGTCTTAGTTTTTCAATGCTCCGACTTGCAACACACTCGGCTGTTTGCATCAGTCGACCAAATATCTTGTAAATGCTTAAGTTTTTCCCGCACAGACACTCGTATATACTTCCCCATTTTGCATACCCTCATCGATTAGTCAGTAATCTTACCACTGTCACTCGACACATGTATGCATTTATTACTTATTTTACTCATTAGTTCGTAAAATATATATACATATTTATGTTGGCGTTTTGTTATTCCATCAAAGCTTCCGTGTGCCTGTGGATATTCTGCTGTTAAATGTCGTATTTGGAAGTTGTTTTTCAGCCATGTATGCTGTGCTCATATTTGCGGACAACTCTGTTGGTATAGTGCATGAATCGTGGTTCGTACCGCCCGATTCAGTCCTTTGGCCCTCGTGCACAACCAGCACTCTTTATGCAAACTTACTGAAGGGTACTTTGCCGAAATGTCCACTCAAGTCGTGCACGTACGAAGTGTATCGGCAGTGCAGTAAGTTCATTTTCAGTTAAAAATGTTCTAGAAACTTTTCCGGATGCACTGAGTGCTCAGCAGGAAGCCCTTGACTCAGGGCATACCTCCTCCGCGGAGCAAAACGATGAACGGCTGGTACGTCAATCCAGGCAAAAACAGTATGTTTATGAATCGTATTACAATGGTTGCAGTGCAAAGAAACGGCTGCCGTCTGATTTTACAGACGGGTCGGATCGTGATTCCAGTGGTGACACCACTTTGTTTGCGAACATAGTCATAAGCCCACCAACTCCAAAAAGACTGTAGGTCCTCCCGCACCTACCAACTTTTCAATTTGTAAAATCCTCATTTTCAGATGTACCAATCCGACTGCCACGATTAGTAGTCTCATTCCTGTTCGAGACGCGCCACCCGTCCCTCGTGATGCCCCGATGATATGTGGAACGTACGTTTTATTTCATTACCACCATCAAATAATCTATCAGCAGTTCCACGTGTACAACACTTCCCGCCGTGGGCGATCCAGCACCACGCAGTTCTACCCCGATCCCCAGGTTTTCTCAACATTCCATGTACTTTACTTTCTAGAACTAACTCTCCAAATCCCAAGGCCAGCGTAATTTCCCCGGATCTGGCCAACCTCATTCTCAGTGAGTAGATTACCATGTTCTAATTAAACTATTTTATAGAGAATTTAGAGAAGATTTACTCGTCGCTCCAAAGACTGCACATGAAGATAGACGCTCTAGTACCCACTAGCAGTTCTGAGGCACTCAACGAGCCCCCTCTTCCGCTTTCATCCATGGATGATCTCCAAAAGTATGAGGAACATCTAAGAGATGGTCCACGCTATGCACAGCTGGTAAGTATTAGTCGTAGTCACGATTGTTGATTTGACAAAGGTGGAAAGGTGGCTCTTGCAGGAGGCTGGCGATGTACAAGTGTACCTGACCAACGTGCTTACACGGACGTTGGCTCCAAGGCTGGCCGTACTACTCAACTGGCGCGGGATAAATGACAAAAAAGCCTTCGGGTCAACCAGGCTCGCCCAGGGACTTATTTGTAAGTAGTCAATTGTTATTTTATATTTAGCTAGTTGAATCAGTGTCTAGATGAAGCTCAATAACTGTGTTCTTCATTACAGACGCGGCAACTGAGAAATTTCCGAACACAAATCCGCGACAAGTAAAGGAAATCGTTCATCGCTGGCTGGAGAACGAACGGCAGAAAGTTCGGAAACGCCTGCAGAGAGCCACCAAGAATGACAAATGATCTTCCCCCTGTATTTTTTATAATTCACTCATTAAAACATTTGTACTTGAAGGCGCTTATTGATATCCGGAAAGGTAATACGCTGAGCAATTATGTGGGGGCAGGTGGGCTATCACTTAGTGTTTACGATGTTACTGAATCGTACTGGGGAAAGAGATAAATCCGTATAATGGGCTATATTTGCGCGTTGGACGACTTAGCTAAGTGCGGACTGGGTGCGGAAGTCCCGGTACTGGGTACGGATTTTCCGCACCCGGGTGCAGAAGTGTGCGGATATGGTGCGGAAATTTCCGCACCCGGGTGCGGATATTGTGCGAAAAATTGTTTCATTTCTGCACTGGTTCCGCACCCGGGTGCAGAAATCTGCGGAACATGTGCGGAAATGTCCGCACCCGGGTGCAGACATTCTGCGGAAATTTCTGCACAGCATATATATATACTGTGGCGAGATGCCTGAAGTTTCAGACCCAGCCGCTCCCGCGACAAGTTTATTCTGATCCATCGAGTCTTTCGTTCGGATCTAACCAACTCGGTGGACTTTGAGGTTGTTTTTTTCTTTCTGTACAGTTTGCGTCCCATCCTGAAGGTTTGCGTCAAGTCACTCTCCCAAGAAGTTTTACGCCGGACTCCGCTCCAACAAGTGAGTCTATACTACTTCTCAGTATGTCCTGGTTGTGAGACTTCAGCTACAATTTATCGAAATGGTGAAATCCTCCATTTTGTCGTCCTCAATTTCCGCGACCCTGGCCATAAACCCAACTACCTGGGACCACAAGCCGCTCACTAGTAACACACCTCAGTTATTTACGCCAGAACCATAAGGTTTTCGAGGTTGTGACCTTCATACAGAGCTAGTCTAATCTGTTTGAACCTTTCGGTTGCAGATTGTATTTTGTTTAAGTGAGCGGAATTTCAAGGTCATGGACTATCACCGATTCGCATTTCGTTACTGGCTTCTGACAGATAAACTACGAAATCGCACTATATAAAATTGTGACATCCTGAATTTTTCTTTATAAAATAGATGTTATTCGCGGAATGTTCATTGCAAATTTCGCTCAGAGAAACACTAGAATAACGTTTACATGCGTAAAACCCATTAAGCGTAACAAACTAGGTGAATTCGTTCAGTGAATCTCGGCACAGCACCGTTTTTTGGGGAGCTCGCCGGCATGTTAGTATAGTTTTGAAGGGAAATTTAATACATTGCGCAGTACTGATGATATCATTCATCTCTGTGGATGATCTCAATTCTTTTATATATACAATTAGACTGTAGATAGTCCAGTGTTGTGAAATGACCCAATACCGAGTAACAAAACATCAGTATATTTACCGCTGGGGATGATCGCGCTGCTTAGTTGGAATGTGTCATCAACCCCAAATCCCCCGGCGGAAAATAAGGCCAGTCATTGTTGGTCATCATGATAACAGCACACGCTGTCGCCCGACTTGGATATGCACGGCTGTTCACGAACCCATTTACGACGTGTTGATGACGGTACCGCGACTGTTATATCCCGTCTGGTGGCTTTCCCGTACTTCACCATATCCCCAATGTTTCTCAGATGAACCCGTTACTTGCGCCCATGAGACCGCTCCAATCCGCCTTATTTGTGCCAGGACTTGAAAGCACTGGCCACCATATAGTGCTTTCTGCTTGTTCTGTCCAAAAATCCGTTGATTCGTTCAATGGCACTCCCAGGAGTGTGGTATGCCGGTGAAGATTAAACTTTGCCGTGTGCCTGATATATCCTGTGTTGACCATCATACAAAAATGAAAATCCTGCTGGATATGATGAAGGATTTGGGTTTATTCAGCGGTTCGCCTACAGTGACGATAGAAGGCTTTCTAAAAAGGTCACGAGTGGCTGCTCCGTTTTGAATTCAAGCGGGAATAGGTGAAATTATTGTGCTTGTAGTTTTGAATTCGAGATTATTTTCGGATCCGATACACAGGGAAGCACATGGATAAACCAGCTTTACCCAAAAATTTCCTCCCGTCTTTATGGATACTATACGCGGAGCCATTAGTAGGCGGCTAACTATGAATTCCGCACCCACAGTAGATTTCGAGTTCGTTTAAATAACGTCCAACAAACCTGCGCCCGCACGTAGAAATTATGAAGGTAAGAATAAATGCCACTGAATACGGAAACTTTGGTAAAGATTCCTTCCTTCAGATTAACGTTTCAGCGAAGATTGGGGTGTGCGTCCAAAGGGCCCATAGAGCACGCAATACTCTTAGGCACAAAACGTTTGCGAAAAAAACCTTTTGGCAAAAATGTTGCATTTAGTTGCGTGTGTGCTCAAACCAATTTAGACTCATTTCGCCAGATCACCGAATTTCTCGTCCCTCGAAGGAATCAAGATGCGGCCAGGAAACTTCAGGTGGATTATTTTCCCAGCATCTTCTGAACCCCGGGATGCCTAGAAGGGCTCGAAAATTTGGACAGGTATTCTGATGTCAACCCCCCGCCCTTTATAGTCCATCAGGGACACATTAGCTCTTGAAATTCCAAGTCCATATTGATACTGAGAACCTGCTTCAACTTGACATGGTTCTAAAATATAGTAAAACCCTCACAATTTTGTTTCTCTGACCTCAATCTCCACCGCTTTTAGATTGTGCTAATCCATGAATGGCCGCATTTGCATCGGGTAATGCTCACTGTTTGGGTGCCTACCCCTGGGTAGCACACCACCAATCACTTATTTTTTAGATTGTGCTAATTCATGAATGGCCGCATTTGCATCGGGTAATGCTCACTGTTTGGGTGCCTACCCCTGGGTAGCACACCACCAATCACTTATTTTACACCTACCGCTTTGATCATACCCGATGGTGTGCCGCTCACCAGCCGGGGACAAACAGTATTATTATTACTGTGAAAAATTACGGATTTAGTGAACGGGAAAAGATTTAGCAATCTCAAACATAATAAGATTGGGTGCGTCCGTCAGTGAAACCACTCACAGACCACTAAATTTATCCTGAGCGGACCGTGATGATTGCGCTACATTTCTATTTTACCCTGCTGACTTTCATTAAAGTGGCTTGAATCTTTAAACATTCCATGTAAGGTTTTCAGCGTCTCACAACACGAAATCCTTTATAATTTAGCCAGCTCTACTTCCATGCAATGAAGCTCTGTCAGCGTTTTTGATACGCTATCACACTGTCAACGTCTCTCTGGTTGCCAGCTGGTGGAGATGCCTCTATGTTTAGTCTTTGTCCTATTTGCACAACTCTTCCATTAATTCACCTTCTGTCGACTTACAAGTCTTACGCCAAGTCTTGCGCTTCGGAATTTTGAAATGCACTAGATTTTCTTACGCACGCAACGAAAATTGCTGCTGAGGCACGATTTCGGAATTCAAAAAGTTATGTGACCTTAACGATTCATGCAGCTGAAGGAACGGCATTATTCGCAAGTTGCGCAGAAAGCAATTTCCCTGAGAATCCTGATATGATGTTGGAATCGCGACCTGCTCTTCTTCCTGGGCGGGAGCTTGAACTAAGTTTGCTTGGAGCCTTGGCAACCAACTTATTATATTTGCCATGGTTTCGAGTATCTGATTATCACTTTTCTGGTGTCAGACTTGTTGATGTTGCACAGGTTATGTAAATATTGTCGTATGCTACCCACCGAGGGTTGACCTAGTGCCTGCTGTGTATAAGCGATTCCGAAGTGTAGCCCGAATCTCATAAGACAGTGACGCAGCAAGCTTTGATATTTCCAAGGATGTCACTAAAAACAAATATGAAGTTTTCTGCTTTCAACATCTATGGATATATCACAGTTGTTACACCACTAATACAAACATTTCGTAATTTCTTCTCCACTTTCGCCTAGTGTATGCAAAAATACCAGGTGATAACTCTTTACCTAAACTTCTCAGGCTCTTGCGAACGCTTTGAAGGATGAAAACCTTCATAAAGAAAACGCCCTATAAGGCCGGGTCAGCAGCTGGTTAAAAAATTCCGCTTCAACTCTAAAATTTAAGTCTACGCCAAAATAGACGAAGAATATCATGAGCTGACGATTTGGCTTGCGTTCAGGAGGGTATCGGGTGAAGTCAAACAGATGAGCGGATACATTTTGTCTGCAGTCTTCACAGCTCTGTCGGACTATACGGGCAAAATTTTAACAGTGAAATTTCCTTCTGCGCACTACGGATTTAAAGAATATTGCGCGCGTCCGAAGATAATCCTAAAATATGTTGTAGTATATGGCTCGTCTGGGAGCTGCCGCACAGCGTGATTTTCATCTACCTCCAGCTTGTAATTAGAATATTAATCGAAAAATGATCGGGTCAGACAGATATCTCCACAAGTGAGAAATCTTTCGCCGCGCAAATCCACAGTCTGCCTTCTGACTCGAAGGTTAGTTGTTGCATGTGACACGCAGGTGTGGTGTCCAGGCATAATCTGGGATGCCTCTTCCAAAGGCAATTGTGATAATTGAAGAGGCAAGTTTTAAGTTTCTCGTTGACATTGAAATAGAAGATAACTGATTCATATTTTTTAGAATATTAATCGAAAAATGATCAGGTCAGACAGATATCTCCACAAGTGAGAAATCTTTCGCCGCGCAAATCCACAGTCTGCCTTCTGACTCGAAGGTTAGTTGTTGCATGTGACACGCAGGTGTGGTGTCCAGGCATAATCTGGGATGCCTCTTCCAAAGGCAATTGTGATAATTGAAGAGGCAAGTTTTAAGTTTCTCGTTGACATTGAAATAGAAGATAACTGATTCATATTTTTGAATGCAAACTCCGTGCTGGTGGAGAGTTGGATAGCGTTTAGATCCATTCAGCATTGTTGACGAAATGGTTGACAGAAGTTCGGCATGATACTGATTTATTCATAAAGCTAGCCTTACACCAAGTGTATTTGAACATAGTACAATATGTTCTGCAATACTGACGTCACTGTGTCTCCGTGAATCATCCCCACTCTCGGTTATCCGCAGAAAATGGGCAGATAAAACGCACCA